GTCTCACGAAGCTTCGGGCGGAGCAACGCGCGTTCCGAGGCATCGGGCGTGGCCACAAGCGAAATCGACACATGCCTCGAAGCGCGCTTCGCAGATTTTCTTCTGGTTTACTCGGCACACGCATCGGAGCCTCGGCACAGTCGGGCACATCACTAGAGAACACACGCTCATATGGCACTGATTATTGTTTCGTACTCTTTCTTAACAGCCTTCAGATGCTGTTTCTAGTTATGGGTCCAGCAACACCAATGTGTCGACGCATGTGTTGAGCTCACAGAGCAATCCATGTGTCGGTGCGTGTGCTGCTTCGTGACGATCACGTGACCAACACATGAACTGCGTCGACACAGTCCAGGCTGCGTCGACTCAGTCCAGGCTGTGTCGACTCAGTCCAGGCTGTGTCAACACCGCAAAAGCCCGCCATACTGTGTTTATAAGGAAGTGCGTCGAGCGACGCGATGCCGCCTGCCGAAACAAGCCAGACCTCACCCTCGCTCGAATAAAAATATATATTTGGGCTAAAAGGAAAACACACAGAATATCAGAAAAACGTGTCCGTCTGACTCAGAGCGTCGTGTCGGCTAGGCTAGCTTAGCTGTTGTCGTAGTTCAAAGCTTCTTTGATATGTGATGTGGGTTGCATCGGCGCCTTGAGTATGTGCTCGCGCTCATGCGCACACAGCAGAAAGCAGCGGACTAGCAACTGCTGAGGCATGCTTCACTCGAGTGATGTTGCTGCAGTGCGTGCATATTGTGGAGCTCCCGGAGAAACGTAAATTGTCTGCCGTGTCGAGCCATTTTGATCTCCTTTTGGAGAATAAGGTATTTATTCAAATCTCCTTGTCTCACCAAGTGCCTCTCGGATCTTTGACATGTCTTATTTCATTCTAATTCAAATTAATTTCATGGTAACTCTTAGTTTACTATTAACATATTTTATTGCAGGTGAAATGTCGAATTTTCCATATAGAAATATATACCAACAAAAGCACCTCTGCAACTGCATCTGGCATGCTACTCATCATTATTAGTTTGTCTTTTTGAAACTGTTCTAAATGCCAAATTTGTTAGGTTTGGTTTTTTTAGATGACCTGTGGCAATATTTGGATGATGAGGTAGGGAGACTGGGAAGAAATGCAACAGCAGATGCGATACCTGGCAGAGGGGAAAATTGCACGCAGTCAAGATCCGCTGTTATAATCGAAGGACCAACACACTACTTTTCCAAACCTCTCCCACCTCGCAAAGCAGTGTCTCTATACACCGGCATCACCAGTGCCATGCGAGCGTGTGTTCTCCACAACAGGGGAAATAGCATGCAAGCAATACAACAGACTGAAATTCAAAACACTGGAGCAACTTATTTTGCTGAATAAAAAATTGACAAGACAAAGCCCACAAGCATCCTCATTTACATAATTTTCACCTTATTCAAACATATTGAATAATACAATATGAATGCATAGATGTGAATGATATTGTACAGACTTCATCATCAAATCAGTCAGTTCAGTCAAGTGGTTTGCCTGCAGGAATTTTGAAAGTCCAGCAGGTGTCAGTGGTCAGCGACACTGTATCAACACAGTGTGTCATTGTGTCAACACGCTTCATGAGGCCTCATGGACCCATCACTAGATGTCTCCCATCTTGTACGCAGCGTGTGTGTGTGTATACACACAGTCTATCCACACTTTGAGGATTATGAAACGCCTGGCTCTGTGTTTATCAACCAAACTTTATATCGCACTTTTCATACATAAAAATGCAATACAATTGTTCAAACTGTGTTTATGTGTGTGTGTGTGTGTGTGTGTGTGTGTGTGTGTGTTCAGTTATTCCCATTTTTTCACAGCCCTCTGAATAGGGATTGTCAGTCAACATGGAAGGATTACTCGCTTTGTACTTGTTTGATCATTTATTGAAGCAGCATCAGAGTAGCAGGCAATAACCTAAAGTACACATAATTGCAACAAATATAAATATATATCCATCTTCATGCATCACAATGTAATTGTATATAATTGTCCTTAATTCATATAATACCTTCATCTGAATAATTTTTATCAACCATGATTTTACACGATGTATTATTATCGTCATCATTATTCACAGTCGAAACGTAAGAAACCATGCAAGACAGGAGTTTATCATCAGGCACCGACAAGTATGGCAGCCTCGGTTACACGCTCCCTAGTATTAGCCCTGTTTTTGTCATTTTCGTTTTTGGCTACCCTACATGGCTTACTTACATCAGAGATGAAAGTCCTCCGGATTTTTCCGGAATTCCGGGTTTTTCAAATTTTTATGAAAATCTCTCCGGAGAATTGAGGAAAATTTGCCTAAAATTAATCCTGATATTAGTTGACAACATTGAACGAAGACGCGTTTGAGTTCGTTGTTTTGCTTTCACGAGTATAGCCATGTTGAGACACGAACACTAGTAACAGTGAAGAGATTTTCGTCTCTTTATAAACACACTTGCTAAACCCGAGTGGAACGAATAAAAGACACCGTGGACAAGACAGTTGTCGTAAAAAATATATTTGGACAAAAAGGGCAACAGATTGGCAGAAAAACGTGTCCGTCCGACTTCGAGTGTCGTCTCGGCTAGCTTAGCTTAGCTGTTGTCATGTGATCCATTTATTTTTTGGAATAAACCTGGAGTACACAGCTGCTGATGTAATGTTCATTCTTAATGCATAGTTTTCAAACATTTACCCTTGAAACATTATACTTTTGAGTTTCAGAATTCTTAATTATCAATATGCCGGGATTTGCAAGCAAGGCCTGAAAAACCTCGCCGTGTCACTCCCGTTGTCTGTCAAAGGTTGCGTCGGCATCGCGCGACTGTCTGGAAGTGATCCGATCCGTTTTGCATTTTTTTAAGGGCCGAGAGTGACCCGGATAAAAACTAAACGCTGAAAAAAAAAATCCCCGCGCACATGCGCGATGTCCGGAAATTAATGGTGGCCGCCCGTTTCGTCCCGCTGTCTCGGCACGAAGCAAAAAAATGCCCGGAGTGCCTGGATTTGCAAGCAAGGCCTGAAAACCTCACCGTGTCATTCCCGTTGTCTGTCAAACGTTGCCTCGGCAATGCGCGACTGTCAGGAAGTGACCTGCTCCGCTCCCCTTGCCGTTTTGCATTTTTTTCAGGCCGTGAGTGGTGCGGATTAAAAGGAGGAGCGGAAAAAAAAATCCCCGTGCACATGCGCGATGTCTTGAAATTAATGGTGTCCGCCCGCTTCGTCCCGCTGTCGCGGCACGAAGCAAAAAAATGCCCGGAGTGCCTGGATTTTTAAGCAAGGCCTGAAAAACCTCGCCGTGTCACTCCCGTTGTCTGTCAAACGTTGCCTCGGCATCGCGCGACTGTCTTGAAGTGATCCGATCCGTTTTGCATTTTTTTCAGGGCCGAGAGTGGCGCGGATAAAGAGCAAAAACTCAAAAAAAATCCCCACGCACATGCGCGATGTCCGGAAATTAATGGTGGCCGCCCGTTTCGTCCCGCTGTCTCGGCACGAAGCAAAAAAATGGCCGGAGTGCCTGGATTTGCAAGCAAGGCCTGAAAACCTCGCCGTGTCATTCCCGTTGTCTGTCAAACGTTGCCTCGGCAATGCGCGACCGTCTGAAAGTGATCCGATCCGCTCCCCTTGCCGTTTTGCATTTTTTTCAGGCCGGGAGTGGTGCGGATTAAAAGGAAGAGTTGAAAAAAAAAATCCCCCTGCACATGCGCGATGTCTTGAAATTAATGGTTGCCGCCGCTTCATCCCGCTGTCGCGGCACGAAGCAAAAAAATGCCTGGGGCGCTGGGATTTGCAAGCAAGGCCTGAAAAACCTCGCCGTGTCACTCCCGTTGTCTGTCAAA